CTTCTGAACACGTTCTGCAGCAGCATAAAGCTAGAGCTGGAGTTGGTGTACAAAGTCCAAATGCAATAATGCCATGAGGACGCAATTTTTCCCAGAAAAAAGTAAGGTCGTCACCTTTATCTTCTCCCTGAAGGCACCATCCTCCATTTGTTATGTAAAGGAAACTACTCAAGAGGACAAGTTAATCCATGGGAATTATACGACATTTCATCTCCCAACTTGGTTTCAAGACAAAACTTATTCGGCCTCGGAGGATTTTGGCCGACGTTTTTTTTCTAAATTTTGTGGTGAATGTTGCAGCCAAACCTTTGTGAAAAGTCTAGAGCCATTTTTGAATTGACTTAAAGAAGCAGAGGAATGACGTTTCTTCTCCATCCTGCTCTGAATTTTTGTTTCTTTTCTAAAGTGAATAATTTTAGAGTTCTATCTATCTATAAACTCTATTTTTTATAAGATTTTCGCAGCACTCTGCTTTTTATTGATGTTTTTTAGCAATAAGTATGCTTTTTAGATGATTGTGTTTCCTTTTCAGTTGACTATTTGTTAGTATATGAATTTTTATGCCAGTTTTTAGTTGACGATTCATGGTAAATCATAGTAGAAACTGCCTCATGTAAAGTTAATTTGATGCTCCTTCTATAAAAACTAGAATCTAAGACTAAAATGTAATGTCTATATTGATTGGAAACAAAATTTACTCAACCTTTTAATGTAAAATTCATCATTTAAAATTCATCCGCAATGAGAAACATCAAAGAAAGAAAATCTAATCTTTTTGGACTTAATTGGGTTGGGGAATAATAATGTTGATGACCAAAATAAACACTACAACAAGAAATATAGCTATTATATTATATGTTAAGAACACAATGCACCTATTCCTTTAACAACTATGTAGACAAAATTACCTTTCATCTTTGAGAAGAATGATCTCACTGGAAGTAAATGTCCATTTATAGCTTCATTTAGAAAACTAATCGAACTATTACATTTGAGTTTCTTTTTTACCTTTTCAGTTTTTAGTGGTACTATAACTCATAGTAAATTGTCGCTTAGTACATATACTGATATACATGTGTGAAGAAGTTGGATATCGTATATTACAACCAAACTATATTTCGTCAGTTACGTTAATCTCATATGTTGAAAAGTATGAAAAGTTATATTTGGTTTGGTTCAGTGTATTGACGGGAAATTTTAGTTTTTATCATACTGGTTGTGATTGTTCTTTAAACCATTATATTAACAAAATCACCAAAATAATAAAGCAAATTCCTTAAAGTATTATCTTATTTAATTAAACTAATATAAAAATTATAAAATTTATAATATATATTTTCTTAAACACATCGGTTTACGACAAAGAGATCTCCATCAAATCAGTAAAGAAAAATTCATCGAGTTAATAAATAACAAAGCAACACTTTAAGTTTTTAAGCTATGGCTATCTCTTTTGTGTGAAACTTGTAATGGTTTTTTGCTGATTATTGTGTACAATTATTTTAAAGTTTATAAAAAGCTTATGATACCTAAAACAATGATTGATTTCAAATTGAAAACTAGCTATACCTAAACCAACATAAAAAAAACAAAATGGGGGCCCATAAAAGTGGAGGCTCCATGCAAATGTTTAATAATAATTTGTGCAGGTTCGACTTTGCTATCACACGACATGTCATGCAATTATCTCCAACTATCATGCAATTATCTCCAACACTAACTGAAGCTGCTAAAGACACTCATATTTACAAGAAACTAAAACTCAGACTGTTGACCATCTATCCACTTGCATCTTTAATAAAGTATAATGATCTTATGACGAACTGTTTATTAGCTGGAAATTTAGAAGCTTACTATATCAAAAGCATTCAAGAATATTTTGAAAAAAAACACAAAACCAACGTTGGTCTCCATCATCTATAAAAAAATATATCTAGATACATTTTATCTTTACGTATAACCATGCTATGCATGCGAGAAAACTATGTTGGAGAAGTATACATTAATAACATTGGTTGATAGTAAGACCATAATGTGGATACTCAATTTTGGAACCACTTTTAACAAAAAAATATTGCATAGAGTACGAGTTCAATGAATCGATTGTTAGTCCACCGTTACAAGCAAATAAAGGTAGAATTTTCATTTACCCAAACATCATTAACAAAAGACGCAAACACTGCTATTTATACAAGGAAATGAATAAGTTCGTCTATTTCATTTGAAACATGTTGTTCAATATTTATATCTTAATATTATAATTCAAAACACAACAAAAATTATGTACTATGTAAATAATACTTTAAGGTAAATTTATTTCTCTTCAATAAAAATAAATTATCACTTTTTACGAAAAAACTCATGTGTCTTATCAGTCTCTAACATATAAAATTCTTAATATCATAATATAAAAATAATTGAAATTGCATCACTCAGCCGCATCCCACTATTTGAATACGTGTCCATAAACACCATTAGTAAAACACATAACCATAATTCTAACTTATACAACAAACCAACAAAATAATTTAAAATTTTGATAACACAAATGTGAAACAATCCGCGCGTAGCGCGGACATACCACTAGTAAGGGATATAAAGAAAGAACGAAATCATTAGTATAGCTATTTTAGTTTTCTTACGACTCTCTAGGCAGCAGCGAGATTATTTTTGGAAGGATGAATCCATTGACGCAGGTAAAGTGGACACATGCTATAAACGCCACGGAATCAGATCTAGGTATCTCCGAAGAGGCTTCGTGGCACTCCAGGTACAAAAACTCTGCGTATATCTACGCCAAAGGCTTAGCTTTCGATCTCACCGAGGGTGATCTCCTCGCAGTTTTCGCACAATATGGTGAAGTCGTTGACGTCAACCTTATCCGAGACAAGGGCACAGGAAAATCAAAGGGTTTAGCTTTTCTTGCCTATGAAGACCAAAGAAGTACCATTCTCGCTGTTGATAATCTGAATGGAGCTCAGGTGTTGGGGAGGACCGTCAAGGTGGACCACTGTAGGGAATACAAGAAGCATGAAGAGGAAGATGAAGAGGACAGAGAGGCACGTGGTGTATGCAGAGCTTTTCAGAGAGGAGAGTGTACTCGTGGTGGTTCTTGTAAATTTTCCCACGACGAGAAAAGAGCTGCAAATACTGGTTGGGGTCAATGAAGATGATAGAAGCGCCATGTGGGATCATGACAAGTTTTATGGTGCTAAATACCTCTACTAATTTTTTGATGTTACCTTTGCTCTAGTGAAATCCAAATACCTCTACTAGTTATCTTTCTTTTTATAGTTATCCTATCCATCTTTTTCTTTGGTGTCAAACACAATATTTTATAAATTACCACTTTGCATCTATGGAGGAATTGTTTACATTAATAGATAACTAAACCATACCGGCTAAAATGTATTGAAATACAAAGCATAGTAGCATACAAACATCCAAACAAACAAAGTCAAAGAGCAGTCTAATTTTTTACTAAATCCAAATACCTCTATTTTTTTGACGTTACCTTTTTTCTGGTGAAATCCAAATTATACCTCTACTAGTTATCTTTCTTCTTATAGTTATCCTATTCATCTTTAATAAATATATTAGTCTAATTTTTACTCTTTGTTTTAGTTAATCATATATAGGGTACTTGATGAGTTTCTTGCTGCTCTTTTCCCATAAATTTTAGTTTTTTTTTAACTACTATAGTCTAAATTCTAAACTAAACATCAACCGTGAGGCTAAAGGGGCCAACTAAGTCTTCCTAATTACATACTAATCTTAGCTTTTTTATTTGCAAAATAGAGCTTAGCTTAACATTTTACCATGGAGCTGACGCAGTTGTGTGAAACTGAAGCTTCACATCTTCAAGCTGTTGGCCAATCTTTGCTTCACATGACTTACTCTGTGTTATCTCTTTGTCTGCCTCTTCATTCAGCTTTTGCAGCTCCAGAATCTTGCGTTCGTTCTCAACCTTGTTTCTCTCTTTCTCTGCAGTCACTTTCTCGGCACCTTCGAGCTCCTCCATCTTCTTTGCTTGCCTATCTATGAGAGACAAGAGCTTACTAATCCGCAACATAGGTACTTTGACATCGAACCCATGCTTCTCTAACTCGGCAAAGGAATCACTGAGGCTGTTTAGTGAGCTTATGGGATTGTTGAGTTTCAGAGCTTTGACTTCCTCAAGTAATCCAGAGAAGGTTAGCATCATACCAACCGCAGACATTTCACGGGCGTCTTCTCTGATCTCCAGCAATGGAGTGAAATGAGGACTTTGTGGGAATGTTTTGAATACTTCCATTGATTCAACTGTCTTCCAGATTGGTAACTTCTTCTCAAAGGGCAAAACCACTGTTATATCCTCCTTTGCTTCATTTTCCTCATCAATATCTTCAACAGAACATGAGAATTGTTCTCTCTTCCTCTTCCGATTGTTATCTTCTCTAGTTCCCTGCGTTAGAGTTTAAGAAGATCCCCAAAGAATTGAACAATCATTACAATAAGCCACAGAACAAATTAAAGCACCAAGAAAGTGAGAATGGTGATAATGTTGAAAAGTGAAGGATTAACTTTACATTTTCTGGGGTTTGTATCAATGGTGTTGCAGTTATGGCCGGAGATGGGGTTATGGATGAACCAGATTCATTTGCTGGAAAAAGTGTGACATTATAAGATGATAGATAAATTGAAAAGGGGTCCAGAGAAACTGTTAGATACTGGAGAGAATGTATTACCAGATTCATCCATCTCATTTACTGATCCTTGACTTAAAGGTGATTCCATTGGCTGCAACAGAGAATAAAAATAAAAAAATCAAAAATCAAAACAGGAAAATAGAAAATACAAAAGATGATGATATGTTGAAGAAAGTGAGAACGATGACAATAACAAAGTGAGCAATAACTTTACATTCTCTCGTGTTTGTATCAACGATGTTGCAGTTATGCCTGGGGATGGGGTTACAGGTGGACTGTTAGACACTGGAGAGAATGTATTACCAGAGTCATCCATCTCATCTACCGATCCTTGAGTTAAAGGTGATTCCCTTGGCTGTATGCAACACAATACACAAATCAAAAATCAATTAAATACAAAAGATGAATATGTTTGACAACAAATTTAGTACTGACTAAAACAAAGTTTAAGTACAAAACGTTAAAATACCTTCCAAACGCCGTGTTCCCACACCTTGGAAGGCCTAATGTCCACGAGTCTGAACCTCACTACCTTGTTTGTAGCTTCTAAACGTACTTCATACCATCCATTACACACATTCCCGGTCACTCGCCCTTGACGCCATGATTTACCCTGAAACACCTCTACATAGTCTACCGAGTTAAGCTCTTCAGCCAAAAATGGAGGTGGCCTAGGCCTAACACTAGGGATATCAACGGTTTTGTTGGGTCTTTTCTTGATAACCTCGCAGTTCAAGGGAATATCACAAACCTCGACAATATATTTCTTCTCATCATTATCATCAATCTCTTTAATGATCATTGCAGGAAACCAGACGAACTCTGCTTTATCTATCTTACCACTCACTTCCACCACTTCTCCAGAGGTAAACATGGACTTGTCGTGCTCTAATAACTAAAATAAAAGTTAAGTAACTCCTTAGGTTTTCACAACCAAAACCTCCAAAAAACATTAAACCTTCAAGAATAACTGACAACAAAGTTTAGTAACCTTCCAAATGCCGTTTTGCCACACCTTGGAAGGCCTAATGTCCGAGAGTCTGAAGCTCACAACCTTGTTTGTAGCCTCTAAAATCACTTTACACCATCCGTAAGACATTTGCCCCGTCACTCGCCCTTGACGCCATGATGTACCCTGAAACACCTCTATATATTCCACCGACTTAAGCTCTTCAGCTGTAAAAGGAGGCGGTCTAGGCCTAATCCTACGCATGTCAACTGTTTTGTTGGGTCCCTTAAAGCTTGAGGGATTAACACAAACCTTGACAATATATTTCTTATCATCATCATCATCCCCTTCCTCATCATCCTCCTCCTCCTCTTTCTCATCCTCATCTTCCTTGTCCACATCCTCATCCTCCTCCTCTTCGTCCTCATCTTCATCCTCATCCTCCTTGTCCTCATCCTTATTCTCCTCTTCATCCTCATCTTTCTCCTCCTCATCCACGTCCTCCGTGTTCTCCTCCTCCTTCTCATCCTCAGCCTCTTTAATGATCATTGCAGGAACCCAAACGACCCCACCTTTATCTACCTTATCACTCACTTCCACCATTGCCCCAGAAACAAACATAGGCTTCTCCTGCAACCGCTTCAAGAACTAACAAGAAAGTTATAAGTATCATTATGCTTTGACAAGCAGCACTTTTTTAAGACAAAGATTCGATTTTTTTTTATACCTGTAGATTTCGTCCTGGCAAGACCCACAATGTCTCATTGACCCAGTCAAGATGTACCCTCAACTTATCTCTCCCAAACAGAACTACATCAGGTGGTAATGATTCGAACAACACCAAAAACTCGTCATCTCCAACCTCTTTGACGACCAGACCAACCCACCACCCACCTTTGTGATTAGCATCCACGATGGAGCCAACCTTGATATCGACGCGGCTTTCGAAATGTCTTGTCGAAACCGGACGAAACGAAGCTGTGTGAGTGAAGGCGGTAAGAGGACTCAACGAGTCATCCTTAAGCAAACGGACACAGCGTTGTTGTTGTTGTCGGGAGCTAGATTTGGGTTTGGTTTGCGGTGGTTCTAACTCGATAATGGCTTTGTACCAAACTTTTTTGAAGCGATTTTTTGTGTAAGTGATTTCGAATTTACTGCCTTCCATCAGTGATAACCTTTCACTCGGAGTGGACCTCATGCCTGCTTGATTACTCACAGGAGCCACAGTCACAGAAAAAAAAGAAATAGAAACTTTTGTTAGCGTAGAACCCCTAAAACTGGAAAACCCTTAAAACCCTAAGCTTCTCTTGATAATCTGATCGGTAAAACGAAAGATGCAGCGCCGATGGAGAATAAAGGCTAAGTTAAACTGTGGGTGTGGGGTCTTGAAAAGAAGAGTTTAAACTTAAGTTAATTTCATATGGGGACAGTTTTTGAGTTTCCGTGTCATGTTGAGGCAGTTTCCACTTTAGAGGTAGTTTGTGTGTGAAATGACTAAAAATATTCTCCTATAAAGCGTAACCAGTATACAAATGTCGGTATCCTTGTAGTTAGGTTTAGTTAACTTTATTTTGTGTTTTAAATTTCAAATTTAAAAGTTGCGTACCCGAGACAGGTAATTAAACCAATTAAACTGCTTTTCAGTTTCCCCCAACTCTTTCATTAATTTCACAGAGACTTTTAGTGTTCTTTTTTGTAGAGCATTGAAGAGAAAGAAAAAAAAGGAGAGATGGGGAAGACAGAGATTTGGAAATAAAAGGTGATTTTGCGAGATTAAGACGCAGTCGGATCTGGGAGATGTCTCGTCGTCGTAGAAGGTCGGGCAAAGAAACCGCGGGAGGTAAGCTTTGGTTTTGGTTCCGAAGTTCTACATCTGTGATAGCATGAAGGAATGGAAAATTGATTTTTTTTTTGTTTTTTTATGGATTCAGGGGGAGATAACAGTGAAGTGAACGAGATGCTCCCTAGACGTCTCTTCGCCACAGATCATTTCCCCGACCGTTCTTGGTTGAGAGAGTTGATTGTGGTTATCACAACGTCCGGGGTGGAGATGGTGTCCCTGTGGTTGCAAAATTCCTGGAGATGCATGCTAATGGTATGGATGTGGCAAACGCGGGCCTAACAGATGAGCTTGTTGACATTTTTTAGGAAGCAATATGCAATTGATGTTTACAAAAGATGGGTGGTGCCTCTGTACGTGGGATAAGGTTGCTGAAGTGGTATTTTGTTGTTTTAGTTGTACCGAATGTCTTTTTTTCATGTATGTGGTATAACTTGGTTGTTATGCGGATGAACGATGTAGGTAACTACGATGACGGTTGGTTCTATTTTGTTAATGTATATTTTGTTAGGTATCCACTACATGGATTCATATTTCAAGGATCGTGAAAGGCATGTTTGTGTATTGTGGGTTCCGGAAAATATTGATGGATGTGTCTAGTGGCGAAAATGATGTTTGTCTTTACAACATTGTTTGTTTACTGTGTATGGATGCACTGTGTCCAGATGTACACTAGAGTATCCACATAGTCGTGTCCACATGGTGGCAGTCAAACAACAATATGCATGTACAGATGTCCAGTGCGTGTACACGTATAGTGTATGTGAATGTGGTGTCTTGTTGTACACGGCAGGATCCACAGTACATGATATGAAAATTTTGAATTCATAAAAGAGGAGGTGTATGTACATGTGAGTATAGACATGTACACGTGAGTATCCGTATGGTCACGTACTGTGTGTGTACTGTGTACACCACTTAACCCTTTTTCCAGCTTAACAGGAAGAGTGTCAACCTGTTAACATGTGTTCACAACTTAACCCTTTTTCCAGCTTAACTCCTTCCCACATGGAGGTTGTTAGGTCGATGATGTACAAAGCATCTAATGGACCATTCTTCCTCAGTTCCAGCTCTCCTATCTAGCCCTCAAGAATGTAAACCTCAATGTTAAGCTTATGGTACGCGTGCACACCGACGCCACAAAACATTTGTACATGTCTCTATCCTGTACACCATTTAGTATCCATGTGTACACCAAACTGTGTAGAGTGAAGCCACAAACATCTGTACATGTCTCTATTATGTACACCACATAGAATACATGTGTACGCCAACACTGTGTACATCTGTACCAATAGACGTACACGTTTCCATAGCCTTACATGTTCTTCCTTGTACACTACATATTATTCACTCATCCACGTGTATACCATAAACCCTCCTCAGAGATGTGTACACCCACTGTGTACACCTTCTTAAAAATGTGTACACCTGAGCTTTTATAGTGTACAGTGGATACGCAATGCACGTGTACACGATCCACCCTTCCCACAGTGTGTGCACCATCCAGCATGGCCCTACTGTGTACACCCTTTTTGAAAATCGAGCTTCTTTACAATGGAAGTATCAATTGCAGAAAAGACTACAACATATACTTCCTCTCGATGGATACTTACATTGAAGCCCATCCACACCGTATACCTACCCCCGGCAACCACCAGATGTACATGTGCTTTTCCTGGACAGTACTTAGTGTCCATAGGTCCAATACTTCTTAGAGTGTCAACCTATTAACCTGTGTACACCACTTAACCCTTTTTCCAGCTTAACTCCTTCCCACATGGAGGTTGTTAGGTCCATGATGTACAAATTAAGCATCTAATGGACCATTCTTCCTCAGTTTCAGCTCTCCTATCCAGCCCCCAAGAATGTAAACCTCAATGTTAAGATTATGGTACTTGTGCACACCGACGCCACAAAACATCTGTATATGTCTCTATCATGTACACCACTTAGTATCCATGTGTACACCAAATTGTGTAGAGTGAAGCCACAAACATCTGTACATGTCTCTATTATGTACACCACATAGTATCCATGTGTACGCCGATCTTGTGTACATCTGTACAAATAGACGTACACGTTTCCATAGCCTTACATGTTCTTCCTTGTACACTATATATTATCCACTCATCCACGTGTATACCATAAACCCTCAGAGATGTGTACACCCACTGTGCACACCTTTTTGAAAATGTGTACACCTGAACTTTTATAGTGTACAATGGATATGCATTGCACGTGTACACGATTCACCCTTCCCACAGTGTGTGCACCATCCAGCATGGTCCTACTGTGTACACCCTTTTTAAAAATTGAGCTTCTTTACAATGGAAGTATCAATTGCAGAAAAGACTCCAATAGATACTTACTCTCGATGGATACTTACACTCAAGCCCATCTAGACCGTATACCTACCCCGACAACCACCAGATGTACATCAGCTTCTCCTGGACAGTACTTAGTGTCCATAGGTCGAGTACTTCTTAGAGTGTCCACCTGTTAACCTGTGTACACCACTTAACCCTTTTTCCAGCTTAACTCCTTCCCACATGGAGGTTGCTAGGTCCATGATGTACAAAGCATCTAATGGGCCATTCTTCCTCAGTTCCAGCTCTCCTATCCAGCCCTCAAGAATGTGAACCTCAATGTTAAGCTTATGGTACGCATGCACACCGAAGCCACAAAACATCTGTACATGTATTTATCATGTACACCACTTAGTATCCGCGTGTACACCAAACTGTGTACCCGTGGATACGTTGTTGCCCACTAGGTAAACACTTGTACATCTGTGTGTCTTCCATGGTCGTATCAGTTTAACATGAAAAGCTTTTGACATTGAGGTTTGCGTTCTTGAGGGCTGGATAGGAGAGCTCTTAACATGGCTATACAGAGTAGGGCCATTGCGTGTAGAAGGTGTACACATTAGGTGGTCGCAATAGGCCCGTGGTGGGTGGTGTGGAGGGTTTATGGTATACACGTGGTAAAGGGTTTATGGTATACACGTGGATGAGTGGATAATATATAGTGTACAAGGAAGAACATGTAAAGCTATGGAAACATGTAGGTCTATTGGTATACAATGAGACTACATGTTTGATGGTGTACATTTCGGTGTACACATAAATACTATGTGCTGTACAGGATAAAGACATGTACAGATGTTTGTGGTTTCGGTGTGCACGTTTGGGAATAATCCCAAAATTTTAAGTCGGTGCTGAATGGTGTACAAAGGAAACATGTTGATCTATTGGTGTGCAATGGTGTACACGCGTCCATGCGGTACGTGTCCATGCGGATACAAAATAGAAGTCGTACTTAAAAAGTTGAGCTTCTCTGATAACATGCACGAGAGTGGTTCCTGGATAACAAATATTCAGAAGATACAATAGCCAAAACATAAGGTTTTAGTATAGTGCACCTGCTTCATAACCACTACATGTTTAAATGAGTTTTAACATGAGTATACAACAAAAAAGATTCCCGTGGATATAGGAAAGCAAAAGGGGCTGATATAGGATGAAGGCGCTATCCAAAAGTAGATTCCCGTGGATATAGGATTCATCGAACATATCAGATGGGGACGACACAGTTGGTCCTGTTGTGTCCCGAGACACCACAGCGATCGCATATGTTGACTTTTGTCTTCTTAGGTACCTTTGAGAATTAGCAAAAGTGGAGTACTAACGATAATTTTTTTCTTGTTTTGTGTGTGTCGAAGTAGAAACCAGAAACACAATTGGTGAGAATAGGGAGGATGAAGATAGACTTTTAAATCAGGACCGTCCAAATTAAAAGTAGAACAAGCATATCCTACGGCGTGAAACTAGTGGTAGATATGTGTCTTGTCATAGTGTACTGCTAAAATCTGGACCATCAATTACGGGGGTGAGATGTGTGGCCAGGGATTGTTCCCGCTAATATAAAGCTTTCTCTGATATCTTTAAAGAACGAGATAGTTGAGTCCTAACTATAGTCTTGGGGTCATTAAGAGACTTTTACAAATAAGTGTCTTTGTAGTGTAAAGTGACCCAGAGCGATAATAATAACTTGATAACTGTCTATGAATGTAATATTTTCAATAATTTAGTCATTTTGTCTCGAGTGAATTAGGCTTATTTTCTTTCTTTTTTTCTTTTTTTTTTTAAATTTTTTTTTTAAAAATTAAAAAGAACTAATCGAAGGCCATCACATGTCGGTGAAGTCTGCCAACAGTTCAATGTCGATGAGGCTTCTCTTTTTGGTGGACCTAAATGGGTTAAACACATCTTTTTTCTCGGGATATAGGTGCTTTAATCTAAGAAAAACTAGGAAATTAAGAAACTACCTATGACAAAAATTATGTGGGCTTTCGA